ATATATATAATTATTATTTATTATTTTTGAAAATATAAAAAAAAAAAAAAACATTATTTATCTATAAATAGTATAAAATAGATAAAGTACACAATACCATAAAAAAAATGAAGATATCTGTATGAAATAATCAGATTTATAGAAATGTACACAATTAGAACAATTTAAAAAATAGAAAATATATATATTTTGTACAAGGTATAAGTAATTATGATATTAAATAGAACATTTTATCAATATTTAATATATAATGTATTAATGTTGAAATTATTACAATTCACAGGGTTAAAAAAAAAATTTCTTTTTACGTTTAAAAAGTTATTTGTACTTGTTGGCTATGATATATATAAAAAAGAAGAAACTAACACTTCTTTGTAAATTACAATAAGTATTAAATTTTAAATAAAATTTGTAAAGTTTTATTAATATGTTGAAAAATATATTCTTTTGAAAAAAAAATAAATAGAGTGAGAAATAATACTTTTTTTTATAATTTGCCTAGATACCCTTAATTTAATCTAATAGAAAAGGTGAATTAAGAAATAAATATTTATTAATTGTATTAATTATTTATATATAATGTCAGGTCTTTTATAAATAAAAGAAATTCATTATCTTATGAGTACAATTAATTGTGATTATTTAAGAGAAAATTTTCGTTATTATACACTTTAAATAATTATATATTATTATGAGTTCTGTTATTGTTAAAAAAAAAAATGTTTTATATATTTTTCATTGCCATTTTAATGGAAGTAATAATTCGTTTTCAATAAATAATTTATTAATGAAACAAGTGTATTGCAATATAACATATTATTTTTGAATATTTATTTTATACTTGATATAAAATATCTCTTTTTCTTTATTATAACATACTTTATAAGTCATTTGTACATATGTAATTATGCATGTGATATAATATTTACTATATCTAATTAATGATTATTTGATTAATGATCATTTTATATATTTTCTACTTCATCAGTTATACAAAAACTAAGAATTTCTATAAAGTAAATTTATTCTTTATGTTTGAAAAAATTCTCTATATAGAATGAACATACATCAATACATGTTTTTATAAAATTCATGAACTCATTAATAATTAATTTTTATGAAACAAAATAATATTTATTTAAGAATATATTTTATTCTAACACAATATAAAATATGTATACATTATAAAATCATGTAATCCCTAAGATAATTTACAGAAAAAATGGATAGGAAATTAATATAACTTATTATTCTAAAGATATAATATAAAATTATCTATGATTTACGGCACAACGAAACGAGAACGTAAATATATAATTTAATAACTTTCAACATAAAAAATATTTGCATATACGTCAAATATTAAATCATGTTAAAAGACATAAAACTAAGTAATAGGATTATGCAAATTAAAACATTAGATGCACGCTATCACAATAAAATATATTATATTAACTTTGAAAATTTTATTTTAATTTATAATATTATTAAAACAATATGTATAAATATTTCGATTAGTTTTTTTGTTGTCACGTTATTTCATACTATTTTTCAGAGCTTTACTATATAAGTTCTCCGTATACATTCTATGAACATATGCAAATGCTATAAATATTTATTTCAATTAAATTTTTGCTAGAAAGTATATATACTGCGTCTTGTGAAATCATGTATTGTTTATATTTTTTAAATTTATTTACAATAATAATTATTTATTTCATCTAATATATAATTTTCTAAATATGCCAGCTCCCACAGAGAGTGATAGAATAATACTTAATTACTATTATATATCATAATTAAAATTATTTTGGGATTATGTTTTTATTTTTCCTTAATTATATATATATATCAATCAGGAATAACTGAACGAGTGTGCTAATATTCCATTGTGCTTTCATTACTTTGTAGTACTTGTATGTTAATTTATTTGATGAAAAGAAGAGCCATTATGAAGAATATATACAGATATCCAATAACGATATTTTAAAAGAAAATTGTATAAAAGTACAACTACAGAGTATTGGAATAGATGTTTTTTTTGAAACATGTCCAAAAATTATTAATTGTTTATATGATCCAGAAGAGACTGATGAAAGAATTAAAGATGAAGCTTGTATATCATTGTTTTATTGGACATATGATAAATATTATAAAGATAAAACAGAATATGATAATATAAAAAAGCACTATCATGGATTTCTGCATGCATATAATAATTACACCGTGTCTATATGCGATTATTTTAAAGAAAATCTTACAGAAATTGTATTAAAAAAACTCAAAGATATATATGATATGAATACTGAACTAAATAAAATAAAAACTAATAATGCACCTAACATTAGCGATAAAATTGCGTGTGCAAAAAAATGCGGAAATATCCATAAAAAATATGAAAATATGTGCAAATCCAATGATGATAAAATTTTTTGTACTGAATTAAATAAACTTACAACAGAATATAATACAAAAACGAAAAATATATTTTGTGAAAATAATGCACCAGGTTATTTGCCTTTAGTCCAGATTTATAATAAAAAAGCTCACAATTATGTTCCAATTGTTGTAGCATTATTGATAACCCTTTTTATATTTATGCTGTATAAGGTTTTTTTATAATATAGTATAGATACTCATATACTATTAAATAAATAATATGGAATATTTTAATAAAATATACATTATATCACAAGCAATTTCTTTATTAATGGATAAATATTTTCTAATATATAATAGCTCACGATTTGGAGATAATGCTTGCGTAATAGAATCATAAGAAAAAGAAATTTTAGGAATAATTTATATAAATTGTGCAATATGTTGCAACAATCTCAAATGTTAAGTAGTAATTCAAGGAATAGATGTTATAATGTATTATATAGTTTTAACTAATTTCTCGAATAATTATGTAGTTCGAAGCCTATATTTTGTATAAAAGTCACATTTATTATTGTGATCAAATAATAGAGGATGTTTTTATTATTAATATCTTGTAAAACTGAAATAATTCTTACAAGCTAGCTCAAGGTTAATTATCCAAATTAATAAGATAGCATTACAAATTATAATAAAAATATACAAAATTTATTTCACAAACACATAAATAATAAATAAAAATACTATAATTAAATTTGTTTATATTTATATTCAATATAGTGCAGCCATCATGAACAATGTATTTTTAAGACATGAAAACTTATATTTTATATGTATTAATAATGTTCCACGTATTCCAACAACATAATGTACATGGCAAGGTAAAAGATTTATATGAAAGTTTTATTAAAATTATAATTTTTTATATATCTATTATTGTATTTTATTAAATAATATTAATTTTAATTGAGCTTCCATATATTAAGCACACATGATACTTTTTTTAATTATTATTTTTTCTTTCTTTATGCTTGTTATATTTCTTAATACATGAATACTATATGTCCGCATATATATAAGTTTAACACATGAAATTTAATTATACATGGGTTTTATTACTATAAATGGAGACGTAAATTATATATAATAATTTATATATTAATTTTTTTTTTGTTTCATTAATCTAACTTCTTTTATTACGTTTACAGCTTTATTTTAATTTTTTTTTGCTATATTTTTATGTTAGGCATTAGCAATGTATATACGTATAGGATATATATTTTTTCTGTGTTTTTGCAATAATGTATTATTTATGCTATTTATAGTTTACTTATTTGCATATATGTACATTAAATTATGGAAGTATGATCATTTGTTTCACATGAACATAATTAAAATAAATTCCACTCGAAATTAACCTATTAATATTAAATATATATATATTTTAAATTATATATTAATTATCGTTTTGGACTAATCTGAGAACTTCGAATTTTTATTATTGTAGAAACATATGATTAAATTTTAATAGGATTTAAATGAATCATATGTATCAACAATAATTTTTTAAGACTCCTTGTTGCATGAAAGAAAATCATTTTTTTTTAT